CTTGGTTATCTAAAAGGTGATATATATTGCGAAAGGTGTATCTCCTGACGACAATCTTTTTAAATTTTAAAGCCCTAAGTGTATAAATGCCAAGAAATAACTTTAACATCAGTTCACTAGATAGTTTAAGTAACGTGAAGATGTACGATATATAATTGAGAGAACTTCAGTATTGAAAGAGTTTTGATGTAGATACTTTAATAAAATCATGCTGTGTGCATCCAAACTAATTGCTGTATTAGATTGTTTAAATGATGCATAATCTGAAACGGTGTTTAATTTTACAGAAAAGTCAATTATATGCAGAACTTTTCTTATTCCGCTCCATGTGCTATTATTATATTTCATTGGTAATGAAGAGCAACTTAATTTAAAAGAAATTTAATGCGAAAATTATTAAATCTAAACTAAGTAAATCATTGATACTTCACTTGCTTCTAAGTTATATCAACTCAACCTATATAAATTTTAATAAAATTTTGATATCTGATAATTATACGAATGTATCTAAAAATGTTTTCAAACTCAATATTAAAATTAAAAATATTACTCATATTACAATTCGAATCCTGTATAAAAATATTTTTTTGTAATTCCGAATAATTTAATAATTCATTTCAAATCTTCGATTAAAAATATCTTCATTTGCCTTCTAATCAATATTGTGTACATTAAGACTGAAAAGTTTTCGGAAATTCTCATTTAAAATTCGCGCGCTGTATATTTTTCGATATTTTAAGTTTATGTAGTTTGGCAGCACTGTCCTTAATTACTATGCCAAAAATGAGCTCGATCTGTCAGACAGTTCGTTTACGGCAGCTGTTGAAACCAGTTCACCTCAGTAGTGCGTTGCGAAATGTCTTCGACGGTCGTACGACCGTCCTGGAAGGCTTTGTACCACTCATAAACTTGAGTTTTCGATAAAACTGATTCCCCATAAGCCTTTTGTAGCATTCGCAACGATTCTGCACACGAAATTTCGTTCGAAACACAAAATTTGATGCAAACTCTTTGTTCAATATTTTTTTCCATTGTTTTTTTCGCAACGCCCTACTGAGGTGAACTGGTTTCAACAGCTGCCGTAAACGAACTGTCTGACAGATCGCGCTCATTTTTGGCATAGTAATTAAGGACAGTGCTGCCAAACTACATAAACTTAAAATATCGGAAAATATACAGCGCGCGAATTTTAAATGAGAATTTCCGAAAGCTTTTCGGTCACAATGTA